TGCGGCAACTAGTAAACGTACATAAGCGGAAGAAGTGGGAGGAGCATCTGAAGACCTGTAACTTCACCTCTGGTGTGAGCAAGCTTTGGTCAACCATGAGGTCGCTGTCCAATCCGACGAAGCACGACGACAGAGTCGAAATTTCCTTCGGCGACCATGCTTCGTCGGCCCCGGAGCGATGCGCGAGCTATTTTAGCCGGCAGTTCATACTGCATCCTCCGGTGGACAAAGCCAAGCGTCGAGTGACCAGAAGGCTGCACAAACTGCCAACAACCTGTGCCCCCCTTGCTTTCACTTGCGGTGAAGTTCAGGTGGCCATCGGGAAGGCGAAAGCCTCCAAAGCCATGGGTCCCGACGGATATGCATGCTGATGCTGAAAAATTTGGGTCCTGCGGGGTTAGCGTACCTAACGGAGGTCCTCAACTTGTCTATGGCCACTGGTGGGGGAGTGGCCCCACTGCTCAAACCGGAGAAACCTGCCAACAAAGGAGATTCTTATCGTCCGATAACACTCCTTTCCCCTGTCGCGAAGACACTCGAGGCCTTGCTTCTCCCGTACTTCACAAACCACTTGACCCCAGCGAAGCACCAGCATGGTTTCCGTAAAGTGCACAGTACAACAACAGCACTTAACGCCATAAACACTCAGATAACTCGTGGCCTTAACCGAAACCGTCCGTTTGACACCGTCTGCCATTCCACGCTACTAGATATAGAGGCCTCCCTCTCTCCCACAGAGGCTCAAACGGTGGTCGGCAAATTATCTGAGTGGTCGACACTCGTCGGTAATGTTTAGAGACAAATCGAGTAAACTTAGAAAAATAAAACAGGGGGTTCCACAGGGTGGTGTCCTTTCCCCGCTACTGTTTAACTTTTACATTTCAAAGCTCCCTCAACCACCAGAGTGGGTCTCGATTTTCTCTTATGCCGACGATTGCTCGATCATGGCGACTGGGAAAGGAATTGATGACCTGTGTTCGAAAGTAAACGGGTATCTCTCCGAACTTTCTCGCTTCTTCACTGCAAAGTGTCTAGCCCTCTCCCCTACGAAATCCAGTGCGACCCTGTTCACAACCTGGACGAAGGAGGTCAGGCTACCGCTGGGAATTCACGTCGATGACACACCAATTCGGACGGTGAATAACCCCAAAATACTCGGAGTAACATTCGACAGCCTGCTCTCCTTCTCTGCGCACGCAACCGCTACTGTCAATAAAGTACAGAGCCGCAACAAGGTCCTCAAGTCGCTAGCCGGCAGCACTTGGGGCAAAGACAAAGAAACGTAGCTGGCAACATACAAGGCAATAGGCCGGCCGGTTTTGAACTACGCAGCGCCAGTGTGGTCGCCGGGGGACTAGTAGGACGCAGTGGACGAAGCTACAGACTACACAGAACACCGCACTTAGGACAGTGACAGGATGCCTCCTGATGTCGCCCGAACACCATCTTCACGGCGAGGCGCAAATGCTCCCCGTAGAGGAGCACAACATAATGCTCTGCAAGCAGTTCCTGATCGGGAGCCACAGAAGTGGCCACCCAAACAGACAGCTGCTTGCAGAGGAGCCCTCGCCTAGGCACGTCAGGAGGCATCTATATGAACTGACGCACGAAGTCCAGAGGTTCATCAAGCAACCTCTGGACCCGACAGCTTACCGACTGACCCTGAACGGCATTCACAGGGAGTAAGTCTCGAGTTATGCAGACTCTAGACCTGTGAATGCCGTTCTAGGCATACCGCCCCCGCAGGTTAAACTCCTACCTGAGTAGATTGAATGAGGATGTGCCAAATGAGTGTCCGGCATGCGGAGAGACCCCACATGACTCGAAACATCTCTTCGCATGCCCGGAAAACCCGACAACCCTATCGGCCTTGTCCTTGTGGACCAACCCCACAGAAGCTGCACGCTTCCTGGGGCTGCCGTTAGTGGAACTTGACGACAACGACTGAGATACCAACCATCCTGGGCGGGGTTGTTGTAGCCGCTACAACAACAACAACAACAACAACAACAACAACAACAACAACAACCATCCTACAAAGCCCATCGAGTTGAAGTAGAAACACCAGACGTGATGAACGCGATATTGAAAACGCTAAAGTCAATCGCAGGTAAGAATAATAATGGTGTCACCGAGAAAAAGGATGCTGCAAACGCAGGGCTGAAGAAGACGAACCCAACCCCAATCAGTCGCTAAATAAAACTAGCTAGCAGAAAGGGGCACGCTAGCTCCCGCAATTGAATGTCCCATAATCTCTATCTCGCAAATTAGCAGAAAAGCGAGCAACGTCACTGTTGGCGGATATGTGGACGGACATAAGCGAGTACTAAATGTGGATACGATCGTATAAAATTCCATCATTCGACCTGATTTCGCCACTAAAGTGGTAGCAAGGTAGAGGACAGCAACTGGTGAGGACACCAAAGTTGTAGAAGAGATAACATGCAAGGTCACAATAGGAAATTTGTCGGTGTGAAAGAAGTTCAGAGTCGTGAAGATCGTGGATGAAGTCATTATAGGAGTAGATTTCTTAATCGGCCAAAGCATCAAGATCGACATGAAGAACAGGATCATGACATATAACAACATGGAAGTGCCACTTGGGTATGATGGCCCGTACAGCAGCAAGCGAGTGATTTTGGAGGAAATCAAAAGCAATTGTTTGGGCGAAGATTGATGGATATTGTGGGACAAACAAATTGTGGGTTGTTGGGATGCATTTCAGTTTGAGTACATATCTAGTTCGAGTCGTCAATAAAGCTCCGAAAAGGAACTGTACTGGGCCAATGTGGAGAAGTAGAGGTCAAACACAACAATTTTTTCATAATTCTGCGATTTGTTCCGACTATGCCTTGCCTCTTTTTCTCAAATTAACCAAGACGTGACCGAATTGTCCAATTTAATGTCCACTTCACTGTGTTCGAAAAATCAAAGACAGTGACGAAGCCGCCAATGAGAGAATGAGAGAATGAGAGAAGTGCGAATGTATTAGTTGAAAGTGTGAATATATTGCTATTGTCTTCGCAAAATTGTCCTATGTAAACCCCAAATTAGAGCGCTTTCACATTAAGCGCTGATTATACTTGCATTGTACTGCAGCCCATAACATGAGTACTGCCACATATCGAATCTGTTTAATGGGCTTTGCATACAAGCGATTATCCGACGCAGCGCAAAACAAGGCATGACAGCGAAGTCTAGAGAACATTCATTTTTCGCTGTGACATTTTCAAAGAGCGATGCCACTCTCATTCCACGCATTAGTCTGTTCCAGTACCCATCAGATTTACAGGAATTACTGAGAAGTCGTTCTTGTACATACATTTTGGAATATTTATAGTCGAAACAAAGTCGATTATAAAGTTAGTTGCCGCCTTTTCATTGAAAATTATGACAAAGATCAGCAACTAACTTTAGTGTCGACTTAATTTAGGCTATGAATAGGCATTCTTCTGTTATGACCTCCTAACTAAGTCCTGGAGTGCTAGAACAGACTAGCTGCACTGAACAGCTTATTCTGGGAGACTATAAATAAATAAAAATAAATAAAGCAAGCTATAACGTCTTTATCTTCGCCAGAATAAAATACCGAAAGTATTCCGACAAAAGTGTGCAGATCAAAGCAACGCGGAATCGCTTCGATAAGCTGAAACTACCGACGAAAAAATTTCGATTGTATGTCATACCGAGTAATGTGAAAAGGCTCTTAGTTGACGGATTTCCCCAAATCCCTTGAGTTCGTAACGCTGGGTTGCTAAATAAACGCTCAAGATGACCAAATTACAGTGCAATTAACTTTATTGTACAACAAAAACCTTATAATAAACGCTAATGAAATAACAACATTTACAATACTCGTTAAAGCAACTCCAATACTCTACAAAACTTGCTAACACAATTGATCTGTATTACAACTGACTTGTAGCTTGCTGATTCATGGCTACTCTAGAGAATTCTGCCGTCTATCGTACATTCTCTCGCTGTTCGCAGTGTTCCTCCACTTGACGTTTCTTGCTGTCGAATGCTCTACGTCTTTCATCAAACATTCTGCCATTTTCATGTTGTTCGCTTCGCGTTGTCGCAGTATTCGCCACAATACTATGAAATCTCATTTGTATTTATTCTGTAATCAGCGTGTCACTATAATATTGCTTCCTGCTGTTTCTCACGCCGCAGTCCGTTGGCTTTTTTAACCTTCCTTCTTTCAATAAAATGCACACGGCTTCGCAACTATGCGCTGTGCTGTGCTTTACGAGCGTTACGCCTAGTGGCGCCGTTAGACGAACCAATTCCCTGCTCTGAACTACCGCTATTCAATTATCGCCTTACTTTGCCGAACGCACAAATTCTTGCCGACCTCATAAAAGCGGTAAAACAACGCCTGTCCTTATGGCCACTACACCCACCCTACTTACATGCGTACATTGCCGTTTCTTGTAGTTTCCCGCTCGTGTTGCGAACTCGCACCGCTACTGCACTGCCACTACCGCTATTTTCCCCGTTAGGCTTGTGTACTGAAAATTTGTCGATTTTCCTCGCATTGCAAGTCCGCGTTGGTGAATTTGCAGTCTACGTACGTTGCTTTAAAATTGTATGTGTGTACGCAGCTTTTCGCGAAGATGTTTGCTATTAAGAACGATGCTATTACCGCATACGTTTTTTCACGCCAACTTTAGCGCACGGTGATGTCAGCGCCGGCTTTGCTGATACCACCTAGAAGTTTCGCACACGCTTTTCGCAAAATTTACTTTAATTAACACGCGATTTCTACAGTGGATTCGTATCTCACTCTGACACCAATTTGGTGGGACCAAGTACTCCCAAATAAATAACAAAACACTTTTTAAATTGAAATTTGAGTTTATTGTACAAAAGCTGTCATCGATTCGCCAACAGTTAGCGGGTGGCGAAAAGAACGAACTCAATGAGGTTCAACCAAACTCGATATCGTCTATCCGTGCTAGCTAACTTTGTTGTTGCTTTCACATGCAAAATTCTTCTTTAAGCGACCGGAACCCAAACGTAGCGAGCGAGAAGTGGCGAATCGATGACGGCTAAAGTTTATAGTTTAAGTATCTCCGTTTAATGGTGGTTGTCAGCTCGGGTTGTGGTCGATGAACAAGTGTTATGTACGGTTACTTATAGTTTCCATTTGTCTTCTGTTTCGTTCAGTCGGGGTTGTAATAATTAGTGTCCCTACTACATGTTATTTAGAAATAGACAGCTAGCTTATATTCATTATCTAGGAGACTATTGCGTTTTGTTGTGGAACTCACCATATACATATGTACATACATATATAGCCGTATTCTTTTTTCAATATATTATTATTTATGCACTGTTAAAGTAAGACTATGAACAGGTAATACTTACGCACTGCTGCTCGATTTCCTGCTGCTTCTCTCTTAGTTCATGATCGGTCACATTGTCATCAAGTTTCAATCCTTCCAAAAGCCTATCCATATCTTCTTTCATGAGTCTAGTAATAAGATAAATGTAAATTACGTCAGACATGGTTCAGCAAACATACTTATTTAAATAACTTTGTAATTCGATTTCATGACATATGCGCTTTTCTTCTAGCAAACTCCATCGTTTTTTTCGGGCTAGGCGTAACTGTGAGGTGATGTCATCTCCAAAATTCTGTTTTTGTTCTTTTGATAAATCGAAAGCTATAACGAATAACGTATAGTGCTTGATTTCAGGTTTAATATCTAAATATTTCAGCTTAATTTCTATGAAAAATATGTTAAAACTTGAGAACCTTGTTGCGGCTCTGTACTTTATTGACAAATGCGGTTGTATGCGGGGAGAAGGAAAGAACGCTATCAAAGGTAACTCCTAAAATTTCCGGATTGTTCACCGTCGGAATCGGCGTGTCACCGACGTAAATGCCTAGTTGAAGCTTGACCTCCTTCGTCCACGTACTGCAGAGCGTCGCCGTTGATTTCGTTGGAGGGAAGGTGAGGCTTCTTGCAGTAAAGAAGCGAGAACATTCGGAATTCGAATTCCATTCCCAGACGCCAATATCAAACAAACGTCAAAGTATGAGATCATGGAAACTCTCGAGATGTAGAAGCCTTCCTGGATATAGAGGGCGCCTTTAACAACATCATGCTGGGCGCGATAAACGCAGCACTGACGGGCCTGGGCATCAAATCGCGCTTAGTTGCGATCGTAAACCAAATGCTGATATCGTGCTGGTATCGTTGACCAGGATCGTAGAGAGGGGCACCCCGCAAAGGGGAGCCCTATCCCCTCTATTATGGGCCGCATCGGTAAACTCACTGCTTTGTGGCATGGAAGGGGGTGGCTGTAAGGGTATTGCGTATGCGGATGATCTTGCACTAACAGTAAGTGGGAAATTTCCACAAACTCTATGTGACATTATGCAGGTAAAACTGAAGGAAGTCGAGAAGTGGACAAAAAATAACGGATTAGGGGTAAACCCAAGCAAGACAGAGCTTGTACTGTTCACAAGAAGGTACAAAATCCCCTCATTGATAACACCAAGGCTGGCACAGACCACACTAAAATTAAGCGAATCTGCTAAATACCTGGGGATAGTCCTGGATAAAAAATTAAGCTGGACTCGAAACACCGAAGAGCGGGTGCGGAAGGCCACGGTTGCCCTATACAGCTGCAGGAGAGCAATCGGCCAAAAATGGGGTTTAACCACGAAGCTAGTGCACTGTATATACACCGTCGTGGTGAGGCCCATACTTCTGTACGGGGTAGTGGTATGGTGGCCAGTGCTGGAGAAGAAAGTAAACAGTGTTAAATTACAAAAAGTGGAGAGAACGGCCCTGATCTGCATTAGTGGTGCTCTCCACACAACACCTACTATGGCAATGAATACGATCCTTAACATCATACCCATAGATATTATGGGACGACAATACGCTGCGTTTGCAGCGCTAAGACTACAGGGGCTTAAAAGCTGGAAAACGGCTCGTTGTGGTCACACTACAATTCTGAGAAACCGACAACTACCGAGTACAACGGACTACTGTGTACCAAGGCTCACTTTCAGTAAAGGTTATAGCGTCATGCTACCTAGCAGAGAATCATGGCTCGAAGGAGTTCCGGGGCCTAGAGATGCCATAAGATTCTACACGGACGGCTCCAAACTAGAAAATAGGGTAGGCGAGGCGTCTATTCCGAGAAACTGGGAAGAAAAAGATCATTCCGACTACCTGACCACTGTAGTGTCTTTCAAGCCGAATTGGCAGCCATACAAGAAGACGTTGACAGCCTAAAACTAGCTGTTATGGCCACTACGGAAATATATATACACTCAGACAGTCAGGCGGCCCTTATGGCGCTTGACTCTGTCACTATAAACTCGGAAACAGTTGTCAACTGCCGCAAATCACTTAACGTGATGGCGGAGCAGTTCGCTTTGCACCTGGTATGGGTACGGGGGCACAGTGACATACCAGGAAATGAGAAGGCAGACGACCTTGCACTTTCACCAGCCTGAAAGAGGATGGGTATGCCACTCGCTTCCTGAAAGCTCTTACTAAGGGAGAACTTCCTTGAAGAAGCGGCCTCCAGATGGGAGCGTACTGAAAACTGTAATACAACGAAGCTGGGATGTACGGAGATCGAGGGAAATTCTCACTCTCAATAAAGGCGATGTCACTGGCCATTGGTCTGTTCACACGACATATCCTGATAGGAAGGCACGCAGAACGCCTCGGGGTTAGTCACAACGACACTGCAGAAGCTGCCACGACGAAGAAGAGCCTGAATCAATAAGGCACTTACTATGCGATTGCCCAGCACTAGGCAGGAAAAGACAGAAATTCCTAGGTATAGGTCTTCTAGACGATATAAGCGCGACTGCTAAGTTTGCAATACGGCAGTTGCTAAGGTTCGCAGACTCCACGAACTGGTTTAAGGAGTAGGGGTCTTTGGATACATGTGGTATCACAATGGGCCCTGATCGGGCCTAAGTGTGCTGGCGCCCTCTGGGCCTAGCAGCCAGGTTTCAAAATATCATGATTATTCGACTGCTATGCGGTACACGACTTACTTTCTTTGCCTATCAGTAAATACGAGTATAGAGGGCCAAAGGCTTACAAATGCGAGAGCACACAACGTACAGTGGGCTGTTAGAAAAGAATGGTGACTCCGAATTGATTTTGCACACTAGAGAGAGAGGTTTTGGGTTTCGGTCTACTATCGACAGTTTTTAACACTATCGATACTATCGGAAAATTACCACTCTTAGTTTTAAGTCATTTTCCAAGCGGTAACAATATTGTGGCTAATAAATTTATTATACGGGTAAGTATTTTGAGAATAAAATAATATATTTTCTAAAGTTTTCCGTTAAAATATATCAATTTATAGTTATAGTGTATTTTGAAAAACACCCCCAAATATTGGCAAAAACAAATGGTTATTGTGATTTTTAAAATAACTGATCCCTTCATAAAACAAATGCAGCCATAAATTTGTCAAATATTTTTCGTGTTTGAAACATTGATTATTCTATGTTATGTAACAAAAATTGATTACTTATAATATGTATACATACAAGTTTAAAACTAATGGCCATATTCATAAAAAATATAGTAGATTTAAAGAGCTTTATAAATTGACGTTTTCATAAATTTTTCAATATATACACCTTTTATAAAGCTACTTTATTTTTTATGAATAAGGCCATAAGTTTCTTGGTGAAATAATAAAAATTTGTTTCCAGTTTTTGAAAATAATATTCGGCGCTTTTATGGTTGTCGATGTCGACGTCGATGTCATTTTTACAACAAAAAAATAGCCCTTGTGGGTCCTACTCCAGCTACGCCGACCACTGTATTTTTGAGGAAAGATGTTCCTCGCAAAAATTCTGTGTGTGAGTTAGGCGACTTACGGAAGGTTTCAAGACCAGGACGAACTGCTGTAAGAACAACAATGGCGATCTGGTGACCGATGTCCAGTAAGTACATAAATTATGGAGGGAACAGTTTTCCACCCTAGTGAATGGTAGCAGCACGGAAAGTTGTGGAGAAAAAAACCGAGCCCCCAGTCGATGATGATGAGCAATTACGCAGCTGTTTGGATGTTCCCGAGTTAGAATACGTGAAGTTTGAAACCGTGGCAAGTGCCGATTTCAAAAACGGTAGCTTTTCGATTTTCAGGTAGGTTTTCGATAAGGTTCTAGATGAATGATTATATGTATTTACATATATAAAAATCGATTGTATACATATTTATACATACTTACTAGTGTTCGCCGAGCGGTTGAAATTCAACCGCTAAAATTAAGTATAGATTATGTGAGTAGAGTTGAGGTGAAATAACATTAGTTGGAAAGGGTTAAGTGGAGGGGAGTTTAGCTTAGTACTTAGCATATCATAATATTTCATAGGATAACATGACATACCATAAGATTAAATAACATAACATATGTAGCATAACTACGGTGACCATAAATATGGATTCAAAATGAAGGACAATTTTTCAAAAATATGCCTGCATATATTTACGTAGTATAAAAATATCAAAAGAGTATTTATGATTCTAAATTCTTAATACATTTTAAACTTTAAAAATGAATCACGTTTTCTTCATTGACAATAATCTTTTTTTACATGAATATTTATAAAAGTATAGTAAAACATATTATAATTACAATAGCTTACACGAAAAGTGAAAATCTTTAAAAGATTATTTTATATGCAAATTTTGAGTCGTTCAAAACGAAAACAATACCCTTCTTTTTTTGTTTTTTTTGGTACTTTTCGCAGTTATTTGTCAAAAATCGACGTAGTGAATCGACGTAAATGACGAGTTACAAAATGCCCCTTACAAAAATATATAATTTGTGCAGATTGCGCTCCATAGCATCTACATTTATAATCCGATTTTCATTATCTTTGGCCCAAAGTTTACTGTAATGATATATCTTCTTTATCGAATTTTTTAAATAATGAAAAAACATAATCAAATGAAACTGCGTATTTGATTGAAAATCTCACTTTTTTCGCCTGTAGCACTAATAATTTTGGTAAGAGGCACATCAATACCCTTCGAGCTGTAAGTCGCTTACGTTAATTTGCAGATTTTTTCATGAGATATTGAAGAAAAGCTACGAAAAGTACCAAAAAACACTTTTTTTTAAATCCATCCATAATTTTATATAATTTTAAAATAACGAATAAAATGCGGGACAAATGCAGGACACTTGGAAAAAATCAGTACATTTTCGGGTTTTTCAGTTTTGAAAAACTACGCAGGACCGACCTTTGAAAAACAGTACGGTCCTGCAAAAAACAGAACGGATGGTCACCGTAAGCATAACACACCATAACATAACATCGCACATTCTTCAGTTGTATCTCCTTTTTTATCCGTATCACATTCTTCCTCTCTATCTTTGTCACTATCGTTATTTAAGTTAATGTTATTTAAGGTTATATTTATGTATCTTCATCTTCATCTCCATCTTCATCTCCATCTTCATCTCCATCTTCATCTTCATCTTCATTGTAATAAAATGACAAGAAATGTGTTGTGGCGCAGTCGAGCGCTTATCGAATATTGATTGCTCTTTATTAATTATTTCTTTCCTAATTCATACAAATTTAAACTTACTTAATTCTATGTTTTCTTATTTACTATAATACATATTTATTATACTTCTTACATACTAGTCTTACAAACACATGTATGTGCAGCCAAACACTTATGCACATACATATGCACATTGGCTTAGCTTAGCAAAATATGCTTATGGGAGAATGCAGTGTAAGCAGAAATCGAGCATTCAATAATATCTGGTGTGAACCACAATTTGTTTGCATTAGCGACATAATAAGTTTAATGCACTTTTGGCGCGTTATGTAGATATGGATTTCTGATACACTACACCTCCTCTCTTTAAAAGAATGCTTATACATTTGTGAGCAGGGATGATAAATAGGTTTTTGAATTTTGTACCAAATGGCCAAAAAAAATACTAAATCAGCCGAAAAAGTACCAACATTTAAAATACCATACATACATATAAACACATATGTTTTTAAATTAGGTAAATATCTCTATTGGTACGTGCATTTAACATCTCCAGTAAAACATGTCCATCAACAAAATTTCCGTGAAATGTCATCTGTTATCTCACAAGAGGAAAATATCCAGTATAGTTTGCAGCAATTTTCATGCTACCGAACAGCTGCTCGAATTTTCGTTTTTATTCAAAAATGTAAACAGAAAAAACACTCCATCAATCTGAAATTCAGGCAACCGGATCACTGTAGCGTTTTCCAAGCAGAGGTAGCCACAGTACAGGAGGCTTCGGATTGTTTGCTCTCTAGTGTAACCAATTTTATGTAGGCGAATATCTATTTCGACAGCCAAGCAGCTCTTGGATCCTTGTTG